CGGTCCGTGTTTTTACGTCGAGCGCTTAAAATCGCTGTGCTTGAAGGAAAAAATATATAATATATAAAATGTGTGTGAATATACTTGGTAAAAAAAAAAATGTGAATATGAACTATATATGCGCCCCTTGGGAGTCCAATTGGGCTAATTCTGAACTTTGACTAATGCTGAGTAAAAAAAAAAAACAAACGTAATTTATTTTTTATGAATAAAACAAAACCTTTCAAAAATGGAATTAAACATTAATTAATATGACATATACTTAAAAAATTGGTGTTAGAACAATAAAATATCACGTGCATGTGTTCAAGGAGTTGTTGGGAACGGAGAAGCGAGGGCAAAAATTATAAAGTCAATAAAAATATAAAAGCATTCATACAGAAGGACATTATGGATTTCATATTTAATTAAAAAAAAATTATTTAACATATTTCCGTTAAAATTAATATAATTAAATATGCTGGTGACTCAACGATTACGTAAAAGTTTAAAATTCAAGTGCCAGCTAATGAAAAGCACATTTTCTTTAAAATTACGAGTGCTTTAACCGAGTTGATAAAAATTCCGCCAAGCATAATAATTGAAAAAACGAGGCGTACCACGTTGCAAAGCAAAGCAACGAATAGGCGTATAAGAAGGAAGTGATGAAAATGATGACACATTTTTTGAGCTTTTGAAAGAATTGATGATTACGCAATCTGCGCTGCGTAGTCAAATGGCGACAGTGGTGGTGTGGTGCGTTGTTTCCGCCTATTGCATCCGCCGGGAACTCGTGTAGTACAGTAGAGTAGGATGAAAAACATAATTTTTTATTTTGGCATGTGGGATTTAAAAATAACCTAATAATTCATTTTTATAATTATTTTTGATACTTTTTTTTAATCAAATTTCGATTAAAAATTCTCGGTTTGCAAATGATTGCCGTTTTAATGAACATACAGCATAGTAATAAAAGTTTCCAATAATTGAAATATCTAATTTTCCTTATTTTTAAGAAAAAAACGAAAAGAAAAAGTACTTTTTATTAGAAAAAACTAAACCACGAGAAGTGCCAGCGTTTTTTTTTTTTCTGCTTTACTAGTCTTTTTTTTTTTTATGGAAATATTGTAATTCCCCTCTTCATGTCAAGAAAAAGAGCACCATCACTGATTCGTTTAAAATGCGCTAACTTTGCTGTCGACTCAGCGCGCTACTGCGGCCGAACTGACTTTGTTTTGCGCGCGTTTCTCTTAACAGCGTCGTGTACGAATACATTCTCAAATTCACACAAACACGCAATCGCTCATCAAGAGCATGGAGCATTCGTCTACAAAACGCGCGCGCATTTATTTGCCCATTGGTTGGGTTCGGTTTTCCGTTTGATGTCCGCAAATCGTCGTTTCAAACGTCATTTGCAGCTGCACAGTGGAATCGTTTGGTTTGGGGCGCACATACACGAATTTAGCTCCCCAGTAATTGTTCGTGATGATTTCTAATAATGAAATGGCGCTACATTTTCAAATACGACGACGTGGCTACAAAGGCGCTGCAATACTAGCACACTGGAAGTATTCTTACAGAGTTCAACGGATTTAATCAACGACAAATAATTTATTACAGTGAAATGTTTTGAATTAATGTCACTGCGTGATAAATTAAAATCAAATGTATGTTTTCGGAGTAAACGTTCTGCAACCTATGTGGGAGCGAGATAGGGACTTGCTGTCATTTGAAAAACTTTTACAACCAGTCAGTCTTTTTCTCTCTCCTATAGAAATTGCGGGCGTATCAACATGTCCGAAACATAYAATTTCAAAAACTAAAAACATCTTTAAAAAAATAAAAAAGTAAAACGAAAMGGTACGGGAATTTTCTCACACAAGAGTGTAGCTCAAACAAGCGCCTACAGGATGTCTAACCGAATTAGCATTAACAAACGACCAGTTCTCCAACGGCGCGTTCTTATATTGTTTTAGGGTGGATTTCTTGCTGCTACCGTTGTGTATTGTTGCAGCTGCTGTTTTGAGCATTTGTCATTTCCTCATGGGAAGGTCACGCGTGAACACTTGTATGGTGTATACAAGATAAATAGAATACAAATGAGGCCATTGACAAGGGATTATCCAATTAGAATTGTGCTATAATTGGAAAATCAAGCAATGTTAAATCTTATTAGATCAAGCTAATTGGAAATTCTAATCAGTAAATCAATTGGATTAAATGGTTTTTGATGAAAATACATTTCCTTAAAAAGAAATACTTTGGTATTGCCGATAAGAAAATCAAAACTAATTTTTATCAACACAAATAAAACATGGTATTTTAAATGCGTGCAGAAGATAAATTTTGTATTACAACACTTAAATTTCTAATAAAAGATATTGATATTCAGGCAATTGAATTTTTAATTCGGAATGCCACAGATCTATTCATCATCATATTTTATCATAAACTCATTCAATAATAATTCATGTAGTTTGTCTAAAATTTTATAAAAGTAAATTTCTCTAGATAAACTTGTTTTAAAAATGCTGTTGGAATTTCAAGTCGATCAACAAATATTTTTTCCTAATGTTCAGGGATGTTGTGGAATCCGAGACAGAATTGCTTAGCTGTCAGAATTGCAAACCAATTCTGAATTTCAATGGTGTCACAGAATATGTTTGGATTTTCGTCGTGACAAAACTTGCAATTAATACATTTGGAAGCAACCCTATTAAAGTTAATGAGTTCCGAATTAAATGAAGATGTTAAGACATAACATTTATCGAACGAATAAAGACACATTTGGGAGTTAAATTACGTTTATTATGTTTTGTAAATCCAATATCTTTAAATATCCTGATTTTTTTTTACAAAAATTCATTAATTAAGACATTTCGTGTTTTATACTTGCAGCTGTGTTCACGAAAATAATAGTGCCAGTGGCTATTAACTATTTAAGAGTCAAATCACATCATAAGAACAATATTCGATCAGAAAGTTATAAAAAACTAATTTTTAATAAATGTTTACAATTTTATCTACCAAAAAATTCTTTTAGTGTACATACAGTTATTAAATTAAAATAAAATTGAAAAATTTGCTGTTCATGAAAATAGTAGTGTGTTAAAAACAAACGATAAAACTAAGAATATGAAAGCAACAGTTAATATTTCCTAAGGTCTAATGTTTCCTAAGGTCTAATATTTTGTTATAAATCCGTTGTTGTTTATAACGGCCAGGCATCGGTGTGGCATGGAATCAATAAGTTCCCTACAACGCTTCACAGAGATTTGAGCCCATGCATCCATAAACACTTGCCAAAGCTCTGTGCTTTTCGATGGGTTTGCTGTTGCAACGTTTCTCTTGACAACGCCCCATAAGTTTTCGATCGGATTTAGGTCCGGAGATTGTGCTGGCCATGGTATCACGTAGATGTTTTCARATGAAAACCACTGATTATCTAGTTTGCTCGTATGTTGAAGATCATTATCCTGCTGAAATGTCTATTTTAAAGACATTTTCCAACTATCATAAGGTAGCATAACATCTTTCAATGTATTAATGTACACTGCTTGTTCCATAATGCCACTGATCGAACGGATTGGACCATCGCAAGCATACGAGAAACAAGCCCACACCATAGTCTTTAGCCGACCATACTTAACTGTCTTTGTAGTGTAYCTTGGGTGGTTTTCTGTGCTTGGGGGACAACGAACACGCTGCCTGGAGCCTATACCACCAAACAAAGCAATTTTGATCTCATCCGAAAATAAAATTTTGTGCCACTTTTCTGCGGGCCAATACATTAATTTTTATTCTTGCATTGACATGTTTCTTCGTCAAAAGGGGTATTTCGGTCAGACTCCTTGCATGTAAATTAGCTTCTATTAACCTTCGGCTAACTGTGACAGCACTGACCATTAGTTTCAATTCAYTTTTAATTATTTTTGCCGACGCCGAAGTCTTCGCTTTGCTGTATCGCACAATTCGTCGGTCCTCTAGAAATGTAGTCTTGCTTCCRGCTTAATAGTATGATGAATAGCATTAAATATCATCGGAGCAGTGCAACCAATSATTTCTTCGATTCCTTTATATATCTTSACCTGATTTCTTAACTTAAATATTAACTCTCGCCTTTTGATTGAGCTATGTTGTTCTTCAACCCACTAAACAAGAAATAAAGAACGATTTCAATAAATTTATATCACACAATTAGTACATTATTTTAATACACTTACTGATGGCAGTTAAAATTAATTAAAAACAAAACAATTTTAATTTTTTTCAACTATTTCCGTCAAGCAGTACTATTTCAATGAATAAGACAGTTTTGGTGCAAATATTGAAATAAGTATATCCTAAAGAAAGCAACACAAAATAAAAACAACGGCATTTTGGTGTTTTTTTTTTTTTTTTTTTTTGTTAACAATATTCTGTTCTACGGAATTATAGGAAGATAGAACATGTCAGCAATAGGATTCGAGTGTTGTGTGCTGTCGCAATATTATTTTCGTGAACACAACTGTATGTTTTACCCTATAGGAATAAAGATAAATTAATTCGAAATAATAAAATAAGTTAACTTGTTAACTTACATTTCGAAACTGTGAGCGACTATCTTCTTGCTTTTTTTCTGATAGCAAAATCGGTAAAATTGGTTTCCGTGGCACCCTAGATCGATGCAAATTCTGTTTCGTATATCAAACCAATAATATCGGAATTCATGACATCTACTACTATCAGATTCCACAACATCCCTGGTTGTTGTAGCGGCAGAATTATGTAAAATAATTCAATAAACTTTTATAAAGCAATTCTTCCGGACGTGTTGAAATAAACGTTTGATTTAAACTTGCTTTGTACGCACAGAACGTGGCAATTTGGCTTTTATCATATGTTTAAGCACTTCTTATAAGTATAAGAAGATATTCATAAGTAGCAGAAAATTGTTTTTAAAAATATCTAACAATATTTTTTAGTTTAAAATATTASGTAGATATTTTAATATAATAATTTTTGAGCTCTTGAGGAAGTCAGCCAGTCTTTTCAAATATTTGTAAAATGTTTTAAGTAAACATACCMTTTTCCTTGTTTTTTGTCTTAGCCTACGAATAACTTTTTAGATTTCAAGCAATAATGATATATTTCATGTTTTTCTCTAATATGTGTATACGTGTTGCTACAGAATACTATATATTCTTTACTGTAAATGTTTTTTGTATTACTTAAAAATTATCGAKATGGATATGTAGTTATATAAGTATATAAATGATCAGGTTGATGARACGAGTTGAATTCCGAGAGCTTTAACATCACTAACAATTGGAGATATCGTAATAATTCTTAGTACACGAGTTCCTTGGCAAAAAAGGAATATCGAAGAAAACAATGAGCATTACCTTCACTTTTGATTGGCTTTGGCGCGTCTTTGGGCCGCCATTCTGATGATTGCTGGTTTATAARTGTGTCATATTCGTAGACCCATGCCTTTTCACCAGTAGTCATGCGTTCCATAAAGGTGGGATCCGAATTGGATCRATCCAGCATGTTACCTGCTTTCAATAGATTTTTTTGAAGGAAATTCAGCAAAGCGTTGCATGCCCAATTTKTTATGCATAATCGTATGTGCGCGCCAGTTTTAACTGTTGTTAACTCGGCTATAATCGCGTAAGCGGTGACTACGCCAATTAAGAAGAAGAAGAATCGTACGTGCGCTTTCRTGTGACATCTCCAATTTATGGGCATCCCTCTCAAACTCACATGAAGGCCTTCCACAACGAGGCATGTCTTCGACGGTCTCCCGACCCATCTTGAATGCTCTGTACCACTCGTAAGTGCGCGGTTTTGATAGAGCTGATTCACCAAAAACCTTCTGCAACATTTTAAAAGTATCATTTAACATTACTGCGGTCGACTGTCATCCTAAATAGATGCTGTAAACACACTAATAGAGAGATCGCGCTATTTTTTTGGCAGTTGTACAAAAAAAAAAAAATATATAATAATTACCTGCCATGGAAGACAAGCGGGAGATTTAAATGTAGAATTTCCGATACTTTCTTGACAAATTTCATAAAGGGTAATCGATTTCGAGTTTCCCTACATTTTTAAAGAAAAAACAAGAAAATGAAAATTTAATGGCATTTATTTTCTTGAAGATAATCTCTTCAAATTTTGACCGCGGCTATATCTCAGACGTTCCTTCCGTTGAGCTCTTGAATTTCTTCAGGTTGTTCTTCGTACCAGATGCGGCAATTTTGCTTTATATACACATTTAGTCAGAATATCATCGCATCATTATAAAAACGTCGGATATTCTTTGAACTTTTCAAGTTCCCATAGAGCGGAGCGATGTCACTGGAGAAAGTCGAGCGGCTTCAGCTTCCACAAACTCTAATTCGTACTCTTTCAATTTAAGACGTCGACGAAAAATGCGCCTTGCGTCGTTCCATACGTCAGTTCGAGTTGTTGCGAACGGCTCCGCATCGACTCYTCACGGTCTTCGGGTACACTCTCATCTACGTCTGCTATATTTTCTTTACTGCGTGCTGGAGTTGTCTTTTCGRTCTAATATTATCCAATAATGAATGCTGGGTCTCAATATGGTTGATGGTGKTGTTGCGAATAGTACGCTCAGTARGCCGATTATGTTGACCATAAGTTGAATGACGAACGCAAAACACATCTTTATACAATGTGTATTTTCATAATAAAGTTTAAAGATTTGTAAACGTTGTTAAGGCGTAAGTCTTTCCATGATGAAGTACCAAACAATACTGAACAAAAATAACATGAGAGCTTGACACGACTCGGGCGTGATCTGTCAAAAAAAGGCTATTGAATATAGTACCATCATTGGATTACGCGAATCAAGCTACTTTAATCACTTTATTAATTGAATTTTTATCACCTTTATAATTATAATATATTTGAAAAAAATGCGAGAAAAAACAAATTGCTTTGCAAAAAATTAATTGTATGTCTTTATTCTTCATACCTCAAGCTGTTTGAGAGCTCTATYTTATTTGAGTAAATAACACAGTACAACAGCTAATCTGGGGGGTGAGAAATTCCAAGCCATGGAAATAAGGAATAAAATTAAAATGTCATAAAAAAAACTGACACATACGAACGCCAAACCCTTTGAGGGTTTTACTATACTGACCTAGTACCATCACCCTGACTTGGAATTCTCACCCCCCAGACAATAATTCCAAAAATGTTCCACAGTGTAATAATAACAATCTAAGAGAGAGATCTCTTGTACTTAGCGTATAAGAGAAATATGGAAATTTCGGAAAAATTGTACTTTTTAATTCGGCAATTTTTCTGCAATTCAGTGTCGAATCGACATCGGTTATGAAAAGCCGCATTAGCTCTTTGAATTGATCTTAAACCCCGAAAAGCACTGCTACGGAAGTGTCGCACGGTTGCGTTTGCGAGTAAACATGGCATTAGTATCGGTGACAGCTTTCTCATAAACAATATTTCTTGCAAGATACCAATACAAATTTTTTGTCGTAGTTACCAGAGCGATTGGGAGTGCTGAGTGCAACTCTTTAAACCAATATATCTGACGGTCTCTTTCAAGAACAGGAGTCACCGTATAAAGCATCTAAGGCCTCTTTTACTTCACTGCCCGATTTTCTCTCCAAAAACAAGAACCTACTCAACGATCGATCTGATAAAATCCTTTACGACTCCGATTGACTTTTGACTATTCCCGTCTACAGGTAAAAGGTAGTAATTACACTCTTGCATCCAGTTGCTACAGAGTATTATAGTTTGGTTCATCTAACGGTTGTAGGTATCACCTAAAACTGATCGGGATAGATATAGGATTATATATACATCAATAAATGATCAAAATGACGAGAAAAGTTAAAATCCGGTTGATTGTCTTTCTGTCCGTCCGTCCGTGCAAGCTGTAACTTGAGTAAAAATTGAGATATCTCGATGAAACATGGTATGAGGGTTCGTTAGTACAAAAAAAAAAAGAATTCGTAGATGGGTGTACTCGGATCATTGCTAGGCTAACAAATCCCCATTAACCGAAAACATATAAAGTGCCATAACTAAGCATTAAATTAAGAAATAAAGCTGTAATTTGGTACAGAGGATCGCAGTAGCAAGGGGCACATGTGGGCAAAACGAACAAGAACGAACTCGACCCATTTTTCAAGCAGATGGTGACTGGTGACGAAAAATGGACCACATACGACAGTATCAAGTGAGTAGTCGAAGGCCGGTGAATCGTCCCAAACAGTGGCCAAGCCCTAATTGACGGCCAGGAGGAATTTGCTGTGTGTTTTGTGGGATTGTAAGGGAATCATCCACTATGGGCTGTGCCCATATGACCAGACGCTTAATTCTACCATCTACTGCGAACAACTAGACYGCTTGTAACAGGTGATCGACCAAAAGCGCCCAGAATTAGCCAACAGGAAGGGTGTAGTGTTCCACCACGACAACGCCACACCACACTCCTCAGAAGCTACGGGAGCTCGGAAGGGAGATTTTATCGCATCCATCATTCAGCTCGGACATAGCAAAAAGTGATTACCACCTGTTCCTGTCCATGGCGAACGCCCTTGTTGGTGTAAAAAAAGGCTTTTGAAAAGTGGCTGCCCGAGTTCTTCGGAAATAAGGAGGGGCTTCTACGAGGGGGGTATTATTAAGTTGTCGTCTAGATGAAATAGATTATCGAACGAAACGGTGCATATTTTAGTTCAAATATCGGATCACGGTAACACATTTTATAAGGCATTGAATAAAGAGCAAAAAAGCGGATATTTGAGAGCCTAATTTTATTTKAAAATACCTATGTTCTCGAGTATACTGGAGCAATATCTAAATTAATACAATCAGCCTGGTCCTTTCTCTGACCACATATTCTATAAAACGTTTTCCTTTTTCTCTATAATTATGTGATTTAGAGCTGAATTAGATTCGAATTGAACTATAATTTGGTCTAAACCTGATAGGCGTAATATAATGAATTCCCATACTCTGCTTGACGTTTTCCACATCAAATAAAATTTATAAATATATTAAAAACAAAAAAAAAATGTGTATAATTTTAGCTGACTCGAACTGAAACTACTACGGATATATTTACTAAACAAAGGTAATTTCAGGTTTTTCACTCTTGCAAACAAAATGTACAAAATGTTTGGTCGCATCCGAACTTAGACCTTCCTTATGTAAACCTTAGCTGTGAATACGGCTAGCAAATTGATTAATCGTTGGACATTTATTATATATGTATGTATGTATCTATATAAATATGTAGACAAAAAGAACTAAATAAAAATTTAAATACTCGTTATTAATTTAGTTTGAATTTTGCGTGGGTAGGTATACAATCGACTAAACATATTCATTATACTGGTTAAAATAAAGGGTATTTTAGTAAGTACGAGAGGGTTAATACATAGAGTAAAGTCTTCGAAAATTAATGAAMGAAATTTTGTCGGCAATTTGAATGTACTGCTTTCAAGTGGAATAAAAAATCGTTTTCTGTTTGGTTTAAATCAAAGACAGCCTTCTATTATTGCTGGATAAGAAGAAATCTCGCGTCTCCACCAAAGATTTAAAGCCGCTTATTATACGGTCTCGTTGGCAGAACTGGAGCGATGAAGTTTTTATTGGAACAATTACTTTCGTCGAAGACAAAATCGACCGATTTTGGTCCTAAAGGCAGGTCATAAAAGTTGCTGAATGACTGATTTTTGGATGGCTAATAGAATCTTCGGTTGTCTACAGTAATTTCCTTTGATTATCTATGAAGTTTAGCGAATAATCTTTACAGCGTTGATATTTCCTTCCCCAATACCGCCGAGGTAGTAGTCCTTAACCGTTTAGAAATCCAGGCTAATTCCACCGATCTGAAGCCAAGGGAACGCGATATATCTGCGAGTTAGTGGTTGTTTCGCCTTTGAGACGACTGACAATATTAAGAACTCGTGTATATGATATATGTTAGATTTTAAATGAACAACCATAATTGGCTTGGGTTTTCGTTTAAACTAGTAAAATTGATTACTTTGTTTAACGCTTTGGTCAGTTGATTCAGACAGAAGATTAAGTAGGGTACCTAGGCAACCTAATCAAAAACAAATTCCACTGCGGAGCGATAGAGAGAATACTTCAAAACTGTAAACGGCTAYGGTGATGTCGACAGTAGAAAATAGAATAAATGACAAACTAACGCCTCAGCTTGTAAGGGAGGTTGCTAAGTAGGTATTTGCTATGAATATTTGTTTACAGTTATAGTCATATTAATAATAGACAGATATTGCAACATTACTTACGAGAGTATAGTTGGAGTCGACCGGATTTATCCAATTGGTGAAAATTGAGAAAGATCTTAATGAAGTTGATGAATGGAATCCATATTTTTCATTAARTCTGGTAATTTTCCAACAGAAAGATTTGTATCTCCATTTTAATTCTACTTTTTGAATCAGCTTAACCGAGCTTTTGTAGACGTTTCTTCACCAGATTTTCTACAATGTGTTTTTCGGGATATTACAAGGTGTTTTCCAAAGTAAACAGGACTTAAAAAAAACAGAACAAATGGTTTTTTCGGCTACATCAATTTTTTTTATTCAAAAAAAGTCTCCATGTCGAACGGGATTTAAACAATACTTTTTAATAACAATTAACTCCATCTTTTTCCTTACTTCTGTGATGGATTTTTGAAGACAACAATAAAAATGTGGTCATGGCCTGCAGCTGAAAAGATTTTTTTGCTGCTGTAGTTYCGTAAACCCACAGATTGGCACCTCTCTTCCGTTGAGTCATTAAGAATGTTGAAACATTTAATTTTTTAAAAGAATAAAATTTTATTTTATTAAAAAGGTCTCAAAACTAGAAGGCAAAGGAGAGATCAGTTAAAAACAAGAAAAAAACATTAACTTCGGTTGCACCTAAGATATACTACCATTCACAGACACGATAAGGTTCCATGCAAGAACTTATGACAGCTATATGCTATAAGTGTCCGATTTCGGCGGTTCCGGCGAGTGGAAAGACAAGGACGTGTGCAAAATTTCAGATGACGAACAGACGAACAGACAGGCAACAAATCCCCACCTTGAGACTAGTATTCATATTTATATAATATTCGACTACGTCCAGCACGTAAATATAGCAGCTGTAGCTCAGAGTGTACACGAAGACCGAGGAGAGTCGATATGGACCAAAACATCGCGCGTGTCATTCGCCAGYTACCAGTCGGAAGTATTTATACGAATCATCGAAAATCGGACGCAACAGATGGACCATATGAGAAGTAGCCGCAGCCAACATTTGAAAGAGATAATTTTCAAAAAATAAATGCCAAAGAATGTTCTTTCGAATGATAATAAACATAAACAATAAACTTGARATGGATCACCCTTTATAAATTTTATAGGTTCTCTGATGCCTCCTTCCGGTGTGTTACAAGCTTCGTGACACACTTAATATACTCTGTATAGGGTATAAAGATATATCTAGTCGCCAGTATTTATGAATTTATTACTCCAACTCGCTTTTACATATTTTAATGGCCACCTACTGTAAGTTCCAACAATGTGTCAGCTTAGATAAGYTTCTAAGCAAGACAAATTATATTATATTACCAAACAAATTTAAGATTTTTACTGTTGAACCGGTTCTTTGTTTCGTCGTCTTAGGATGCTAAGCTGCGTATTGATTTAGCGCTCATCCACACTAGCAGAGGCCAAAAATTAATTTCAATGCT